GGAGTCTCGTTCGTTATCGGAATTGGCTACAGTGGCGGCTGTTTAACAAAGTTACATAGGTTTGCCTTTTATATTTATGAAATAAATAAGAATGAATTTACTCTATAAAGTGGATGTTGCTAGGTTCATCTGCTGTCCAATAATTAAAAAAGAAGTCCTTTAGAGTTGCAAAAATAATCTCCACTCAAGGTCCACCGACTTGTCTTCATCAGTAGTTTCCCAGCTGTTTGAACTTCAACAGCAGCTGACAGAACAGTCTCCACTCAAGTGCTCTTTGCTGATGAAGACTGTGTTATATGGTCAAAAGGACAAGCGAGTGAATGGACTGTGAGTAAAGATTGTTTACAAAATAAAATCTTTCAAGCTCAACTTTTTAGTCCTTTATAGTTTGAAAAATATAAATCAGAAAGCATCCACACTGGCAGTATGTGTGTATACTTTCAGATACCCACTTAAGGCAGCTGCTAGTTCATATCTTTTGAGACACTGCTAGTGTAAGCACCTGGGCAAACAACCTACCAAGGTATCTTTGGTTGTCTATGTTCTCATCGCTGAACGGGATCAACAATAAATGTCTTTAATTTGTGGAACTATCTCCTATTCCACCTCAGCTTCCTGGTCAGCTTTATGGTGGACGCCAGGGGTGGAGCTATGCGAGGTTGCCGACACAACGGCCTGCGCATCATCATCCCCCCGAGAAAGTGCAGCGCACCCACGCGGGTGACATGCCGGCTAGTGAAGAGACACCGTCTGGCCACCATGCCCCCGATGGTTGAGGGTGAGGGCCTGGCCAGCAGGCTGATCGAGGTGGGGCCGTCAGGAGCACAGTTCCTCGGGTAAGGCTGCTGGGATGGATGATGGAATGAATTAGTGCCTTCAGAGGTAGTAGATGTATAGGATTAAGCGGGAAGGAAAATAGCAAAAAGTGCTGCATGAAGATGTAGTATAAAGATTCATGTGCTGGTACCGGCACTGAAAGTTTTTTATGCTGGTTTGGATATCCTCCGCCAGTAACCTTTGAAGGTAAATGATGAATAAGAATTTAAAAAGTGTATAATATGTGTTAAAGAGGCATCCCTAGTAGGGCATAGATAAATCATGAATGAAACAGGAAGAAGAGGTCAGACCTGTACACTGTTTCATACACTGATGATACCAACACTGATTTATATCCCTTTTAATGAGAAGCTTACAACTTGCTGCCCATTTTCTTTCAGATTAATTTATCCTCTGCCTCTGCCTTACTAAAACTGTTTCTGTATCTGCTCTTGCTTTCTCCCAGCACCAGGGATCTGTTAATCTTTGCTCTTCAGCATGCCCTGTTTTCTTTCATAACAGCTGCAGTCTTTTTAACCTTATCCCTAACCCTTAATGAAGAAAAGCCTTTCTTATTAACTCCACTGCCAGTATATTGCACCATGATTGATTTGATATGTGGCCTCAAATTCTGCCCTCTGCCGGTAATGTTTGAGATAGTATAGTATAAAAACTTTCATACTACGGTAATGAGTTGGCCAGTATATATGTAATCCAAGTTTCACATCAATACCTCTCCACTGCTGACATTATGGGGGTTCTTCCTGACCAAAACTACTGAAATGTGTTGTTCTTTTTATTATGTTTATATGAAATGTGTGAGCATTTAACTCACTCCCTCTAACTTAATATGATGACCATTATGACTGTAAATGATTACTTTTTGTTTGTTGTTTGAAAGTGAAACATTTATCCAGCATATTTGAAACTTTTGTCCTATAAAAACATAGACATATACAGAGGCCCAAAGTGTTAAACATTATTTAAATACAGTCTTTATTATAATTTAGAGAAATATGAAATAGCATATACTATATATAATATGTATTTAATAATATGTTATATCTATTAAAATAATTATATGGATAAATACTATATGTGTATATATATATATATATATATACATATATATCTTTCTTTTTCCATTTAAGTTATTTAATCCTGTTAATAACAGACTTTATTGCAAGTCAGTTTGATTTAACTGTAGCAATTTTTATTTAAAAATGTCCTTTAATTTATTTTTTTCACAACAACATAAGCTTGTCGCCTATTAAGTCAACCAATCACCTCCAGGCTCTGCCCTGTTTGTCTTGATTGACATTGCAATCGGAAGTGTTTTTATGAAATAAATCTGAAGCTAAAAATGACCACAGTGTTAATAATCTCATTCAGCTGTTTCCAGTCAGTCCCTAAGGTTCCTTTTTTGCACCCAACCAAAACATTGTGTGTGCTCTTTCTTCCTGACTGCTGCGTATGGATGCTTGGTCGATCACACAGTAAACTCCACCTCCCCAGTGCCCCTCCACCTCTTAATGAGGGCGAGAGTTTGGTTAGCAGAATCCTCCAGCTCGGCCCGCCGGGGACAAAATTCCTTGGGTAGGGTGGAAAAAAATCAATGGTTTTGCATACGAAACAATCCATGGATGCCAGTCTCTGTTTTCCTTTACAAACCCTTCCATTTGTTATTTAGTCTTTACATTATTGTCCTGTCATGCTTGCACTCATGTTTTGTACCCCACTACATCTGCTAGACATCACATTGCTGTGACATTACTTGCTGTTTCTTCTCCCCTCTTTTCTGCTTAGCCTTTTCCACTTCTGCTTTTATGTTTTAATGCTTCCTGTTTACTTATTAAAGTGTTTTATTCATTTTTGTGTGAAATTTAAATGGTTGTGTGGCCTGTGAGTAGCCAGGGAACCAGGCGAAATTTGACTGCATGCTGTGCTTCTGTGGTTGGCCCTGATTGTTTTTTCCTATTTTAGCTTCTAGCAGGAAAATGCTATTTTTTCACCATTTTGACCCAAATAAAAAAACACAAGGAATTTATCTCCAAGGACACAAGCACATTATAAACATTATAGATGTTGAGTTTTCTGCCACCACTTGGGGCGACCAAAGTGCAAAACTAGCGAGTGATAGCTATGAAATAACATATTTGAAAATTTTTTAATGTCAAAAATAGCAATAGTAAAAACTAATATTATGAACTTTCAGGCCAAAGAACCCTGTAAATATCACATGAAAATATTAGCAGTTATGTTTTGATAGTTGTGTTTGTCCCATGTTGGATTGTATGTGTAGCATGCTTCTCATAGACATGTGTTGTAGCTACTTTGTTGTTATTATACGCATCAGGTAAGTATTAAAGTGACAATTAAATACTTTATCATTAAATATAATAACTCATCCCCTGTGGGTAATGATACATCTTAATACAGTGGTTACTATAGTCTAAAAATAGTAAAGTTTTCAAGCAGAACTTCAACTATCCACTTGTCCAATTCATTTCTCTGCTGTCCATCAGTATGTTCGGAACACTTGAAATGTGACCAAATGCAGCTTGCTATGTTACCTGTTTAAATGTGTTTTACATTGTGGTGAGCAGCCAAGGTAATCAGCTCACAAGCAGTAGAAATCTGGAAAGTTGTCTTGATGTTGACCAGGTAAACAGTAGAATGAACACAGTTCTTCATGGTTAACACCACAAATTAGTCCAACTGGACAGTGCACTTGTGCATGGCTAATGCAGCCAGAGCAGTGCTGACGTCAGACCAAAATAGTCAATACTAGTCAGTACTAGTTTAGTCAGTACTAAACAAACACTAGCTAAGCTGCCTCTGGAGGATGGACATGTAGCACCAAACAATTGGTTATTGGGCTACTGGCATAAGCAGTAAGACACTAATGCTGTGTCATAGCTTGCACCAAAAATGCCGAAAGATGAAAAAGAGGTCCAGAGGCAGTTATACACACACTGTTATCATCCATGACATTGTGTACTTACTTACTCACATTACCTGGCCTCTATGCTTCCAGTCCTGTGATTGTGGAGATCCCCCACTTTGCTGCCCTGCGAGGGAAAGAGAGGGAGCTAGTGATCCTGAGGAGCGAGAGTGGAGAGAGCTGGAAAGAGCATCACTGTGAACACACCCAAGAGGAACTCAATCAGATACTCAACGGCATGGATGAGGGTCAGTGTCTGATGGTGTACCAGTAGACTGAGTTGAGGAAAGCAGACCTAAAAGATATTGAATGTATTACTATATTCCTACATTAATGTCCCTGACACATGTCCCTTTCTGCTCCCCTCCCCAGAGCTGGACACGCCAGAGGAGCTGGAGAGGAAGCGCATCTGCCGTATCATCACTAGAGATTTCCCACAATACTTTGCGGTTGTTTCGCGCATCAAGCAAGACAGTAATCTGATTGGTCCTGAAGGAGGCATCCTGAGCAGCACGGTTGTGCCCCAGGTACAGGCAGTTTTCCCTGAGGGGGCCCTGACCAAGAGGATCAGAGTCGGACTACAGGTAATTGACAAAAACATCAGTATAGCCTATGGTCAACCTTTGATATATACAATTACTGGATTTAGTTATACTCATGATTCAGAAGCTGGATATCAAATCATCCCAACATCGGTAAGTAGGATTCCTATGTGGAATACAGGGCAAAATTTTGATCTGATGACGGTTCTCTGATGAAGGTCAGGGTTAAACATTATTACAGTTTAACCTTTTGGAACATGACTGTCTGTACCAAATTGTATGGCAGTTAATCAAGTAGTAAGATATTTCACTATGAACGAAAAAGTAGACTAGATGAAAAGTCAGGAAATCAGCAAATTAGTGATATTTGATTGACTGTCTGGGAACCATTAATGCTGAATTTTGTCAATCCATCCATGCCAGTCTTGTGGAAACTCTGCATTGTCATTTTGCGGATGAAGGGCTGGATCCATTGGAAATTTTTTGTCAAGGTGGAGATGGTCCCTACTATTTCCTGCTAAAAGGAATGTACTTTTGGCTAATTCCAAAACATGGCTATGTAAGTGCCTTGGAGTGCAGCCAACATTTCTTTCAGGAGACCATTTTCATGACTTTACTCAATAACCAATAACCATATGTAGGTTTT